TAATTCACTCTAAACTGGTGAAAAACATCCAGAAACCAGCTATAAAAACTAGATTTTGGTCCATTAATTCACTGCAAACTAGTAAAAAAACATCCAGAAACCAGCTATAAAACTGAATTTTGTTCCATTAATTCACTCCAAACTGGTGAACTGTGGCCTTCTGGGAGTTGTAGTCTCATCTCCTGTGTTATTGCTCAGGTTTGGACTCCAGGAGGCCGAATGGTTCCGGCCGGCGCCGGTTCTGGGCGATGATCCGGGCCTCTGGGCTCTGAGCTCCGGGGACGCGGCGTCCTCCTGGGGATGGGCGCCGTGCTGTCGCCGGGCGGCCGGCGTCCCGGTTGCCACGACGACCGGCCGTCCATCCTGCTGCCGGCGCTCACCTGGAAGCGGCTGGTCGCCTCCAGCCGGAAAAGGGGCGGAGCCAAGAGGGGCCGCGGCGGGCCGGCGGCGCCGACCGACCCGCTCGGCCACAACAACAACAGCATCAACGTCTACCAGAACCACAAGGACCCGGTTCTGCTGCTGAACCGCCACAACGCCAGGACGGCGCCGCCATGCGCCAGCCTGTGCAGCTACCGGGGGATCGGACCGGGTCAGGTGATTGGATCGGGTCAGGGGCTGGTACCTGGTCAGGTGATCGGACCGGGTCAGGTGATCGGAATGGGCCAGGGGCTGGTACCGGATCTGGGGATCGGACCGGGCCAGGGGCTGGTTCTCGTACCGGGCCAGGGGCTTGGGATCGGACCGTGTCAGGGTCAGGGGACTGTACCATTTCACGGTCAGGGGACTGTACCATTTCTTGGCAAAGGGACTGGACCAGGCCAGGGGTTTGGACATGAACTTGGACTGGGCCCGCACATCGGATCGGACCAGGGGTCAGGACTGGGGTCGTTACCGGGCCGATCCGGGCCGCCGGCCTCTGTGCGGCGGGCCTTCCAGGGCGCCGCCCCCCCCCCGGGTGCCCCCCCCCCCCCTCCGGGCGGCCGTCTGCTGGTCCAGGCCTCCAGCGGCGAGCTGCTGCGCTGCCTGGGCGGCTTCCTGTGCCGGCGCTGCCCCCGGCTGCCCCGCCTGACTCCCGGCGCCGCGGCGCTATGGCTACGCGCGGTGGACCGGGCGCTACTCATGCAGGGCTGGCAGGAGCAGGCCTTCGTTACCCCGGCAACGCTGGTGTTCGTGTACATGCTGCTGCGGCGGGCGCTGGACGGCGAGCGGCCGGCGTCGGAGCGCCAGCTGCAGGCGGCGCTGCTGGCCTGCCTCTACCTGGCCTACGCCTACACGGGCAGCGAGATCTCCTACCCGCTCAAGCCCTTCCTGCCCGGCGACGGCGGCCATGACGGCGGCTGCCGTGACGACGCCCGGCGGGACGCCTTCTGGCGGCGGTGCCTCGCCATCGTGCAGCGCAGCAGCGCCGACATGCTGCGCATCAACGCCGACCCGCACTTCTTCACACAGATGTTCGCCGAGCTGAAGAGCGAGGGGAACTGGGCCCAGTGAGCCGGGACCAGGACCAGGGCCAGGGCCTGGAACAGGACCACAGCCTGGCAACTGGACCATGGCCGGGTCCTGGACCAGAACCAGGACCAGAGCCTGGCCCTGGACCAGGAACACAGCCGGACCCTGGAGCACAGCCTGGACTAGGACCAGAGTCTGGACTAGGACCACAGCAGGGTTGTGGACCAGGATCAGGACCAGAGCCGGGCCCTAGACCAGGACCAGAGCCTGGACCAGGACCAGAGCCGGGCCCTGGGCCAGGACCATAGCCGGTCCCAGAGTCCGGTTCAGAGTGTTTCTGATTGGTCTTTATCATCATCCGAAATATGATGCTAATTTAACAGGAGAAGCTTTTGGGGTGAGAGCATAAACGTCTTTAGGAGAAGAAGAAGACTCTGAAGATCAGCAGGTTTCCACCCATCTCCTGTTAAATGCCCCCCTGCAGTCAGCCATTTGTGCGTCGGGGGGGTATATTTGCCCCCCCCCC